ATATTGCAGTGCGCCGTTACGCCGATGGCGAAGAGAACGAAAAATAAAAAATAAAATAAAAATAGAGCTGTATAAACGGCTCGCGATGGTGCACTAAAACCCCATGTCTGCAGAGGCCGTATCTAGCGCGATTATTGGCCATAAACCTGAATTACTTTCAATATAATCTGGTGCTGCCGCTAGTGCCCGTGCGCTTGTTATGTTCCGCTATTTACGTTAACGGCTTCTGGTACAGTGCATGCCGGGGTTATGGGGATTTTTCAGATCCAGACTTTTACCTTTTCGCGTTGTACAGAGTGTATATGTCATTTTTATTGGCGAGAAACGGTGTCTGCGGAACGAGCTCGGTAACTGCGCGCCCGATAATAATGAAGTACGCGTACACAAATTCCGGTTTTATTCGATATTTTTATCGGTTTTCTCGAATATATCCCATAAATATTCTATTTATATACTAGATACGTTTAAATTACGAAAATCTATGTGCATAACAATTGATTTCAAGATGAGTTTATAAAGAATAAACGCGTTTTTTACTAATTTTACCCTGAAGATGATATTACCGGATCTCGAAACGTCGATTTTCGTATCCGGCACCATCATTTACATATGCTACATAACTTTTCCCCATTCAAAACGGTTAAATAGAGCCTTAAAAAGTCACTAAACAACGAGTGAATCAGTCAAAAATAACAACTCTAATTTTCCCCGAAATAAAAAAATCAAGGAACAATAAAAGTAAATTCGAAACACGTACAGAGCGGAGGAGGCCTGACAACAAAAGTCGCCGGCAGAGCCTTTCGCGTCTCGCTAAAATTACATGCACCGCGGGGGCGGAAACGCCGCGAAATTCTCTTGACCCAAAAACCCTTCAGCCGCAGACCCGCCGTAAAATCCGCGGCCGCTTCTCCGAACGAGCCGAGCGCGACGCCGGAGAGATGAAAAAACACCGTCGCAGGAGCGCAAGTTTCTCGCGGTGGAACCCGCAAAAAATAAAAAAAGAAAGGAAAAAAGCCGAGCCGGAGCGGAGAGAGGACGCGATCCGCCTCCCGGTTGCTGCTGCTTCTCTCTTAAGGTTTTGTTGTGCGAATGGAAAGATGGAGACGCCGGGGATTTTTTTGGCTTCTCTTTCCGCTCCATCTATAGGGAGAAGCTGTTTACTGAGTTCTGTTTACCTACTTCATTTACTGATACTGTATAAACTTAATTTTTTTATAGTTAAATCAATGCTAGTATAAAACCTACAAATTCTAGTAATACTAGTATGCTAATAGAAGATACTACTTTATGCTAGCTTGAGATGCAATATGATACTAAGTAACTGTTCATCAATAGACAGGTTATTGTTCTGTTATTGATGATACAAGTTTAATTTTTCTCTCTACCTTTTCCTACCTAAATTTTTCTTTTCTTTGTAATTTATTTTCAGTGGAAAATTTCCTGCTGGCATACGGGCTGTAAAGGGGCGCTGAGGGTTCGAGGGGGATCGTCCCTTGATCGTACCGACGTAGTGTATTTAGGACGGTCGAGTGGGCGGTGAAGGGCGAAGAAGACCTCAGAAGGGTTGACCGGCCCTTCGGCCCCTCTCGTCGCCTAAACAAACCCCAAATGGAAAAATAATTTTTGTTTATTTAGTATTTTGTTATGATAAACCGCCGCCGAAAGGGCCGCGAAGGGCTCGACGGTTCGCCGAAGGGCGCCGATTTAAGCGGCGGGGTAATAAATAGAAAATACATAAAATTTCCCGATTAACGCGCCGCGCTAAATCGAGCGTAGAAAAGTTTCGTATCGGCCACGCTATAATTCGCCCCGATAATTGCCCGAAAATTTCCGCGTTGCGAGACTGGAAAAATGATGGGATTCGATTTCCACGCCGACACGTCCTCGCGTTTTCGTCCGGCACACATTCGATAAGAAACATCCCCCATCCCTGCAGGGGGTGTATGTGTAGCCCGCTCTCCCCGCGCCCCTCGCGCACCCTCCGCGCTCCCCACTAATTACTTTTATTTGTATCTTGGCGATTGTCCGTCGGGCGTAAGGGTGAGGAGCGCCTCGAACAGGGGCTGCGCATCTAGGGGTGAATTATGGAATATGAAAGAGTTATTTAAAATGCAGGAAAAATATTTACTAGAACAGGAGCTTTAAAAATAACACCTCCAATCAACGAGTGATGATGATTCAGTGACTTCAACAGCTTCGTTATTAAAGTTAATATTTTTTGGGGGAATAAAAGTGGGGACGCCGCTGGTTCGAGGCACAAATAAGAGTGCGGGGTTGTAGATTGGGGACCGAGGGCGGATAAAAGCCTCAGCGGCCGTCGGGCGGCAGGATAGATTGATTAGTGGGACCGCCGCCAACGAGGAAAGGTGGAGGGAAATAGGTGAGGGTGAGGGTGGTATCTCTCCCCGTCTTCGGGGTGCATGGAAAGGAAATATCCGCCAGATATTCGCTTGACCAGGTGCCGGGCTAACCCTTTTCTGCGATTGCTAAGGGGTGGGTGATTATTGTATAATCCTCTTATCTTCGATATCTAAATTAGGGTATTCCTGGCGGGCGATGAAAAATTAAAAATAACGAACAGCGCGCCTGATTATTAAATAAAATTTTCCCTAAACTTGATATAACTGAAATATTCAGCGAGTAAAATAAACATTAGAATCGCACTAACAAGGTCGCACGTCAACGGCGCTAGTTCGTATTTCACGCGGAACTTTTCCAGCTTTTCCAGCCGTCCCCGTGAAATATAGATCCAAAAATCCGACCCACATCACGGGCCCGTCACATATTTAATAAATTACTAATCCGCTCTCGGGCGACTCCTCGAGCGATTCCTCTCCATCGCCCGGAGACAGACGCTCGTCGCCGGAAAACTTTTTATTCGCGAGCAAAACTAGGGGAACACCCGCGCCGGCCCCTCGCCCGACTTTCATTTGGAAAATTGCGCCTGGAAATAGGAACGCTGAACCTGGATGAACACCTAACGCTGATTTTTAGAGCGAAAATCCTCCGCAATACTAAAGCTGGAGAGGTTGCCGATTGGAATTTTTTTAAAAAAGTGATAAGGATAAGGAGTATGTTTTTGCTAAAATTGATGTTTCGAATTCCGGAATTTTCATCTTCAGGGTCAAATTGCGCGTAAAAGTGTTTGGAAATTGTTGTGCTATAATAATAAAGCTGGAAAGGTTGCTGATTCCTTGATTGGAGTTATTTTAAGGTATTTTGATAGGAAAAGGTGATGAGTATGTTAATGTTTTTGCTAAAATCGATGTTTTGAATTCCGGAATTTTCATCTTTAGGGTCAAATTGTGTGTAAAAGTGTTGAAAATTGTTTTGCTATATAACAATAATAAACCTGGAAAGGTTGCTGATTCCTTGATTGGAGTTTTTTTAAGGTATTTTGATAGGAAAAGGTGATGAGTATGTTAATGTTTTTGCTAAAATCGATGTTTTGAATTCCGGAATTTTCATCTTTAGGGTCAAATTGCGTGTAAAAGTGTTGAAAATTGTTTTGCTATATAACAATAATAAACCTGGAAAGGTTGCTGATTCCTTGATTGGAGTTTTTTTAAGGTATTTTGATAGGAAAAGGTGATGAGTATGTTAATGTTTTTGCTAAAATCGAAGTTTCTAATACCGAAATTTTCAACTTCAGGGTTACATTGTTTTGCTATAATAATAATAAAGCTGGAGAAGTTGCTGATTCATTTATTGGAGGTTTTTTAAGACTGTAATTAAATAAAAAAGTAGTGACTATTAGATGAATGATATGGCTAGATTGGATAATCCAGGAAGTTTCATCTTCAGTGTCAAAAAAAATCTGTTTTTCGAGTTTGCGCAGCTTTCGAGATTACAATATTAGCGAGTTTATAGACTAGAAAACGTTGAGAAAGTATATATGCATCTTAACTGGATCTTTTAGAATAGTTTTTGTATAAATATATCCCTAGCATGAGGCAGGAAGATCCTATTGGAATATCCTGTATAGTATTTTTTTCGGTAACCATCGAGCCCGAGGCGAAAGCATCCGTCCCTTCGTGTCCTAAAGGAGCTTATCCCGCCGACGAGATCCATCTCGCATGATTCATGCTTTTTAGGCCCTGCCGGACCTTTCTCATCCTCTTAGACGGCACCCGCCCATCCGCCTCGCTCCTTCGTCCTGCGAGGATCCTTTGTCCTTTCGGGTCTGCCCGTCCGCCCGCCCGTCGGCCGTACGGTCAACGTTTATTAACGACCCTTCGCTTTTGCGAGACTGCCGTACCCGTGACCTGAAGGTCCGCTGTTATCTGGACCCCGGATTGCCCTCCGTCACGGGGGACGCGGGAGCGAAGGGATCCCCGACCGCAAAAAATAAATTCTTCAAGTCGCGCCGTAATTTCGGACGGTTTTTCTTGGCGGTTTCCTTTTTTTTTTACCGTCGGGAGGAGGTCTAATTTTTGCCGGGCGTGTAATGAAAAACCGACGGGGGTTTTTTTTCGAGGCGCCGGGGAATTTCTTTGTATCGGCTAATGAAGCTGTTAGGTCGAAAATAAGGGATAAATTCGATCGTAAAATGCGCGAATAATATTTCTGGATAAAGTACTATTAAAATTATAACGCGAGTAATGGACGAAGAAGCAAATAAAAAGTCACTTACCTGATTTGATTATAAAGTAAAGAGTGATATTCGATTCAAAAAATTTTCAAACGCCTAATAATACATAAAATTTAAGTCAATTGCTAATTAATAACCTCCTCATTTATTCAATTTTAGTTCAAACAAAATAATTCTTTGATGTTTCCTTTGGCAAATAATTAATAAATGTCTCCCTACTAACTAAAGTAATCTAACAATGCACAAAACTAACAAAAATAATAAACTAATTTAACTAAAGTACTTTGTACTTTTGAACAAATCGAATCGCAATAAATAAATAAATAAATAAATAAATAAATAAAATAATAAATAAGCGAGCGCATTAATAAAAATAGTGAGTGATCGTTTCATGCAAGAACTTATCAATGACAAAACTCACGTGTTTGTTGTCAAACTTGAAGGCGTCCTCGTCCCTGCAGCCCAAACTCCTCATGTACTTCAGGTACGTGGTGGTGATGGGCAGGGAATAGTCGATATCTCCTGCGGAAATTCCAAACAAACATCCAATAAACAACTCCCCGTTCATTCGCAAACTCCACTCACCGCTACCGAGAATCAATTTCTTCCTCTTCGGCTCGTCGTTGTCCAGACCATCCGCCGGCGACCACAGCTTAGGCACCGTCTCTTGGTAGAGCCGCTTGCAGGGACTTCGAGGCGGATCCTTCGACGTCAGGTTACAGACGTCCAAAGGATTACTGGACCTCTTCTGCGGCTGCTGATCGCCCGCCGAGATTTGGCTGTTATTCAACTCCTTCTTCTGCGGCGATGGCGGTCGCTCCTGATGGCTCTCCATCGAGGAATCCGCTGGCGCCGGTGGACTGACCGATGCAGGATAAATGGCTGAAAATTGGATTTCTCAGTAAGCCGGAGGAATTGTCAGGAACCTGCAGGATCTTGCAGAATTGTTCGGAAGTCGGTAGGAGTTTTAAGAAGGTTTTTGGTGGTGTCAGTAGTCTTCAGATGGCTTTAGAATCTAGTATGAACCTTTAAGAAGTTTCAGGAGCTTTCTTTAAGGAGGTTTCTGTATGTGTATGTAAGCTTGTTCGAGATATCATGAGCTTTTACGAGCTTTTTGAAGATTCCAGGAACTTGCAGTAGCCTTTATGTATATAAAGAGTCTTTAGTGGTGTTTAGAAGCTTTTAAAAGTTTGCAGGAGTTTTCCCACTTTTTTGGAGAGCTTGTAAATAAAATAGCTCCTGCTAGATGAACTACATTGTACCACAAATCATACATTTGCTTCTATCGAAGACTTCCTACGTGCTTCGGTGCTCTATACAATCAGATTTATTAAAGACACACAAAAAAAAGCTGGAAAAAAAGTAAAAAAAAACAACAGACGAACCTCCATTTTTCACTCCGCAGTAACCTTCGTCATCTTGGTGAGCGTGCCGGTCCCCCGAGGACGCGGCGCTCAGGGGCGTCGCGACGGCCGGGAGGAGCGGGGCGGCGGCGGCGGCGGCCGGGGGCAAGGTGGGGCTGGGGCTGGGCGTCGGCAGCACGGACGTGGGTGACGGCGACCGAGGGTGTTTCTGGCACTCCATGCAGCCGAGCAGGAAGCGGGTGACGGCCTCCCTCGGCAGGAACGCGTACGTCTCCGTTATCTGCGAAACGTAAACGGGCATTGTTTAGGCACACGTGGGGGCGCCGCGATCCGCAGGTAGCGTTCTATTAGGCGGAAATGTTGTTTTGTCGGACTTAGACGTTTTCCTCGAGCTGCGATTTCGACGTTGAATGGGCATTGTGAGCGGGATTATCGCTCGTCAGCGGGAGGTATGCATATCGAGCGGGATTTCGATGAAACAAAGCGAGCGCACTTTTGTGAAATTTGTATTATTGTCAATCAACTTACCGTCCTGTAGGTCCGTTTTTGTCCAGCGTGCTTCCCGGGTCTTCCCTCCAAATCGACGTGGACGTTGTAGATGATATCGAAGAAGTTTTCTACTATGGCTACCTTCCTGTACACGGGATCCCCGGTGGAATTCTGCAACCAGATACAAACATAGCTTTATGAAAGGTTGCACCAATATATCCTAGGTTATACTTTATCTAAGTCTGACTTAAATGTGTTATCTACTTAAGATTGGAATATGTAGCACCATGTTCAAAAAAGGCTATTTTACCGATCCATTTTAACTTAGACAACAACTGGCAACGTAGCAATATTGTTGAAAAACTTGAAAAGAATGTGATAATTGTCATTTTAAGTGTCAAAATAACCTACTAGTTATTGGGGCCAGTGAAAAAAGATCAAAAGAAGAAGAAGTTGTGGTTTTTTTTAAACATATTCTGTAACCTGTAACCTAGGGATTAGTACATTCATAATTAAACTTTGGTTAAATTTAAGTAATTGTAGGGACGTTCTTTTTTACAGACGAAACCTTTTAAAAAATTATTCCTCCGAGAATGTTTCAAAATAATTAGTTCTCTCTACATCATCTATTATATCTGCATTAACCACAATATTTATATCTGCATATTTATATCCATAATTTTACAACTGTCTTAAGGTCAACATTCTCGTCGTAGAAATCGACAACCTATTAGGATCTGTGATCGATTCGTATCACAGGAAAGAGGATTTTAGTTGGTGCAACAGTATAAAATTGATTTTAGACTTAGGTCTGACTTAGGAGAGGAATTCATCCTATGATGCAAATGGGCATTGATATACTAATAATACACAAACGTCGGTTCGCAACGATTGGAAATTTCTGGCGACGAGCGAGCGTTAGAGAGAGGGACCGGTCCTGGGGCCCGCTGGGACGCCGCAGAGGATGGAGGTCGGGTCCGGATGCTCCGAGGATGATTCGGCACCACTCTTGGCCGGGGAGAGAAAAGGGGCTCGCAAGGGACGAACGGGTTGAAGGGGCCGACCCCCCCACGTACGCCCCGGGAGCCCCGGCGGTGCGGCTCCCGAAACGACCTTTTCCGCACAAAGGAAAAACGCTCGCTCTGCGTGTACACGGCTCTTCCTCTCTCCTCTCGCGGAAACGGTTTGTTACTATGGTTTTAGCCCGAGAAGAACCCGATTTCACGATGATTTTTTTTAGAAAAATCAATGCTTTATGTACCTGTTTATTTAAGGCATTGTTTCGAATTGTACGAAACATATAAAATTAACAATTTACATAAAATCCAAGCCCAATCATTGAGCCAATCAGCACCACTTCCCGCTTTATTATTACAGCAACAATTAATACAGTATTTTTATAACGAAAAAAAAAAATCTATCGACCGGGCACCGAACCCGCGAGAGTCGCGTTTCATCGCAAATTCGCGAGGTTCCCAGCTCGTCGCGAAAGCCGGTTCGCCGAGAACGGAGTACCGCGATTTTTTTCTTCTCTCCCCGTTTAGATGTTGAGACACGTTAAGATTTCTGTCGATACGAGGCTATTGACAGCTGTCTCCTGCGGTAAATCCTGCCGCGCCGACGGCGTATTTAGTAGAGCATATCGGAATGGGCAGCGTCAGGTCGAGGAAAAATCGAGCATTAACATGTGCACGTTTGTACGGGCGGAAAAATGCGCGACTGTCAGATGGTATGATGTGTATATAAATTTAGCGGCGTCTTGTGATGTCAGTTCGATTTAGAAATGTTTCTAAATATATAAGGATAACTTTGGATTTTTTTAAATATCGCAGGAAAATTAGTTATAATTTTGGTTTAATTTTTTATGGTTCAATTAACTACAGTTTTGGTTGGAAATTTATCCTGCAATTATCCAGCGAAAGCTTTCGAATAAATTCCCCCGAAATAACGATTTCCTTGGCAGCGCCATCTAGCGCAATGCGGCTTTAACCAAACGAATATAGGCGAAAACAGAAGCCTATGTCAAGCAAGATGCAGTGAGGTTCCTACTATATCCTGCCAGATGTCGCTAGCGCCTCCAATCGATGCTTCCCGCTTTTACCAAATAAAATCAAAAATTTTCTTTCTTTGATAAATTGGTTATTAAAAAAAATGCGACCAGAATACTCTCTAGAAGATTAACTAACGGTTCTATATATATTTTTTGGGGTGTAAATAATAGTAAAAAAGCTAGTAAATAAAGCACAGTTACCAAATTTTGTCAAAGTTTAGGGAAATATAGCAATTTTTTTCTACTTATTCTACTATAATATTACTCCAATCTACTCGAATCTATACTCTATAGTATATTTGAGAAAATTAAGCGACGCCATAAACGCCATCGCCCGTCAATTTAACGGCCAGATAATCGCCGTCGCCGATAACGCGATAATCCCCGTCCTGCGAGGTGTCCTGGGGCGGTCTCGGGCGTCGAGCGCGCCCGACGAGTTAATGGAGCGCCGCGACGCCGATATTTCATGCCGTCGCCCGCTCTAAGAATATACGCGGCGCGAGAGAGGGAAAGGGGGCGACGACGCGCCGCGACGCCCGCATAGGCGGAAGCGATGATTCATTCCGCCGGAGGGGCCGGGGGGTGGTAATTCGTTTTTCGGGAGGGTTAATTGACCGGCTGCGTTACGCGGAGGTTTTTATTCGAACGGGGGTAAATTGGACGAGGATGTTGGTTCGCGGGAAAGTTTAAGGATGATGGTAAATTAGGTGCATCCGATAAAGTTTTGTAAAATTTAGGATGTTGGTAAATCGGCGGGGGAAGTTTCGACACCAAATGATAGTTCCAAAAAGGATCAATAATCTAAGAATTTTCGCCAGTAGAATGAAAATGCAGGTAGAAGATTATTAGGAATATGCTTTCGTTGTATGTTTACTAAGTTCAAAATTCAGTATAGGTTTCATTGGTTGATAGAATCTTGATTGATAGAAAATTAAAATATAAGGAATTTCCGTATAAAATTTTTTTTGGCCTAAAAGTTATCGTGATGCGGTTTTCGCGATCTTGTTTAGGCATCATTTAGCTTATTTAGTGAATCTAACAAAACTTTAAATAATATAACTTTTGTAGCCCGAGAATAGCTCTTTTCAACTAGCCCAAGTTTGTTCAAATCGGCTCATCCGTTTCGAAGATACAGGGTGTTTTGTGTGGGAACATTTGAATAACACTCACCACTTTATTTTTAGAGATAGAGCAAAAATTGTTAAACAAAGAAGGTTCATATTATACTCGACTTTAAATATTAAAGTTTAAGGCCTTTGGATAACTTGTTTCTATACTTAAGCACAATATCTAGTGAATAAATCATCCCTTAGTAATCACAGGTAGTAGAAATATATTTTTCCTGCTAATTTACCATACAAACAACGATTAATTTCAATCCAATTTATATTGAAGACATTCATCGGAAGCAAAAAAAAACTTTAACCGATCCTCGACTAGCGAGGTCGTCGAGCGAGAGACCCGTCCGATTAATTCAGGGAGCAAACCTTCCGGGAAACGGGATCGGAGGAAATCGAAACGGTCGCGGAATTAGTATCGGACATCGATTGCTCTCTTCTGACCGCGAGCAATCCCCGGTAATTGCGGTCGGTTAATGAATTTCCGATCGCCCGACCGAATGACAGCCGGTGCATCCGTCATTTAGGACCGCATCGGGTTCGATCAATCCCGACACTTCGACGGGATCCCCTTACAACGGGAGGCTCCCCGATAGGGCGGGAATTACGTGATGCACGTATAGGGAAATTTTATAGGGAATTCGTGTCGATCGCGTGCAATTGCAGAATAGTAAGCCGATATAGTTACAGTACGCGAGGCGAGGAAGGAATATTAAAAAAAATATATCAACGCTACGCCGGGGAAAAATAAATCGTACGGGAAGCGGTTTAATACAGCGGAATCCGATAAAATAATTCGCCGAGTTTTCCCGTCTTCCGCTCCGCCGGTTGCGAGCTTCCCGTTTTCAGATTCTCGAGCGGTTAATTGGAGCAATTAGCGGTCGGGCATTACGCCGGGGATCCCGGCAATTAAAACCGGCATAAACAACGGGCGCGCTAAAAAAAAGAACGCTTTCCCGAAGGACTTGAATCCCATCCCGTTCCGCCGATCGATTTCTCCGTACGCTAAACGTATGTATTATTGACGGATTAATTGAATGCACGGAACGCAAAAAGTAGCGCTTCCTCTAGCAACCCCTAAAATTCGAGAGGAAAAATCCACCCCGGCGAAATCACGTATATACGGCTCCGTCTCAACGCGAACGTAATGAATGAAAGGGAGGCGGAGAGAACGGCGGGCAAAAAAAAAAGAGGAAAAAGCGGGGAGCGAGCGGGAGAAAAAAAAGGCGGAAGAGCGGAACGTTCGCCTTCGAATCTCCGAACTTGTAAACGGAGGAAAATCATCCCGCGCTCGCTACCCACTCATCCGAACAACTCCGTCGGTATAACAGCGAGCTGTCGCGCTCGCATTAATATTGCAAGCGACGTTCCCGATTGTCTAACGAGCGGGGCGGCCGAGGGCGGCGCGGGCGACCCCTATCGACGGCGCACCGTGCGCCCGAAGGCCCCCCGATCGACGTGAAAATTTCGAGCACCCCTAGAAAGCGAAAACCGTCTCCGAAAGAAATTTTTTATGCGCCGGAAGGTTCCCTGTCGAGCTCGCGAAGCGAGTTAAATTGTGGGAAATTATCTTCATTGTTTGTCTAAAATGCTTTTGAACTATTTTGAACTACATTTGGATACAGCAGGAATATAATGCAAGTGTACAATTCCTGTTTCCCCAATAAATACTCGTAGACTTAATAATAGAAATAATCATTTTTTAATCCAGAATTTATTTTATCTCGCTGGCTTCACAAGCTCGATTTGATTATACTTCAAGAACGGAATAATTTCAGCAGGAAAACTAGTAATACTTCACTTGTATATGAACCACAATCACACGATTCCTGCTGTGAATTCATTTCCTCTTTAAATCCCCAATTATTCCTCTTTTAATCCACAAAGAATTATACACTAACAATACTAAAAATAAGATTTATTCCTCTTTTAATCCTCAATTATTCCTCATTCAGTCCATAAAGAGTTTATTGTATCTCGCTCGCTTCGCGAGCTCGATTTGA